GGCGAGATTCCTACTTACTTGATTTACAGAGCTGGAATCCACTTTTCGCCAAACAGTCTATTCTCTTACTTGCTTATTTCTGAAAATAAACCCCCATTGAGAGTGTGAGATTAACTGTCGTTTGCTATTCTATTTTAGCAATTTATGCAGGAATCTAACCCTTTTTTTTTTTTTTTTAAGGCATGTATTCCTTTCATTTTCTGAAGGATAATTTACTATAAGGATCAATTTATTAGATCCTCAAAATTTTATTTTCCTTAATTGCCCTTAACATACTTATGTCTAGATTGAAAATCATTTACCCAATATAGTAACTTATTCTCCATAAAATTCCTCATTGAACTTATTATGATATTAAGGCCCAATTCGGCCTAGAAACTTATTAACGGCATTCTAACTCTTAGGCCGCTGAAATTTAAACTCAAACAGAGTCTCTTAAATCAATACGGGCGTTGGACCCACATCAAATCCTTAAAATCCTAAGGATCTATCGTGTTAGGCTCGTAGGTGCCCGTCGGGATGATTTTCTCGATAACCCACTAAGTTCTTTAAAGAAAGCATTTTTTTCTTGAAAACTTCCTTTATGAATACTTTCATTAAAATGAGGTTTAATGTCATTGTATTTTACTAAAATTCTATCTCGGTCAATCGAGGAAAAAGAAAAACCTATGAATATACCAGCTCCAAGAAAAGACCTCATGATAGTAAATATGGGTCCCCACCACCCATCAATGCATGGTGTTCTTCGACTCATCGTTACTCTCGATGGTGAAGATGTTATTGACTGTGAACCAATATTAGGCTATTTACACCGAGGAATGGAAAAAATTGCGGAAAACCGAACAATTATACAATATCTGCCTTATGTAACGCGTTGGGATTATTTAGCTACTATGTTCACAGAAGCAATAACCATAAATGGACCGGAGTTGTTGGGAAATATCCAAGTGCCTAAAAGAGCCAGCTATATCAGAGCAATTATGTTGGAGTTGAGCCGTATAGCTTCTCATCTCGGCCTCTAAAGGCCCCGTTTGGCTGAAAGCCGTAGCTGCTATTTTTCTTGAAACTGTTTTAGTCAAAAACTGTGCCGTTTCGGGAATCTGTGTTTTAGTACCTCTTAGGGTCGGATTTTGAAAATCTTTTCTTCATCAAATTTCTTCATCTCGTCGAAATATAAAATTGTCACTTTTGTGAAAAATCGAGATTCAGCTTCTAAGGGTCCCGTTTGGCTGAACCAGTGGCTGCCAGTTTTTTTTTCGAAACTGTGTTGGACAGCTTGTCCGTTTTTGCCAAATGGCTTCAAACTTGGTTTTAGAGTTAAAATTAGGTTTTGTCATAGTAACCGAAAATGTTCAAAACATCCAGGGCTATAAGTTCAAGCTTTAAAACATTGAAAAATCTCGCTCTATGGTCCTCATTTTCGCGGTCAAAGTCCCTGAAAATTTTTCCTCTAATCCGAAAATAAGCAACTTAGATCAAGCATAAACATACCACATCAAACTAACCTCAAAACTCACAAAACTAACATAAAACTCACACACCCTTATTACAACTTATTTCCTTGAGAATCACAATTTACATCAATGGATTCTCAAACTTAAACTTTGCTAGAAAATAATTGAAAAGAGTTCAAGAAGTTACCCTTGAAGAACTCTTTCTTGAGAGCCATTTAGATCCTTCTCTTCTTCTCCAAGGTTTGTTAATGGCTTTGAACTATAAGAGTATAAGGAAATTTAAGAGGAATATTTCTACATTTCAAACTTCACTAAAACATGAGAATGAGAGGATTTAGAGTTTCTTTACCCTTGGAGGAATACTTGACTAGTCTCCTCCTAGAATCTCTTGATCTCCTTCTTCTTCTTCTATGGTGTGCTAGTGGCTCAAGATTGAGAGAGTGGGAGAAAATATTTGAGAGGAAATGGTGTGTATGGCCGGATTTTTGATGTGGGAAAAAGGAGAGGAGAAAAAAATGAAGCTATCCTATGATGGTTCCTTTTATAGGCAACTTGGAAATAATTTTTTAACATCACATCAACTCCTTCAATCAACCAAATTTTGGTTCAATTCTCCCCTTTCTTGGCCGGTTATGGAAGGAGAAAATGAGAAGCAAAATTGTCATTAATTCCCCTTCAACCACTACCATCACATCACACCATAACTTGTAACCTTTTATCACACTCAACTAGCCAAATTTTGGCTCTATTTCTACTATACATGGCCGGCCAAGTGGAGAATGAGAGAGAGAAAAATAAATCCTACCCCTTGTACTTTTGTCCACTCTCTTAAGTTTCTCTTGAAACAGCTAAAAATTATACTGACTGTAGGTAAGTAACTTAGCCGACAGGAAATTCTAGTTTCTGACGATTCCTTTTCAACTGCTTATTTACAATTTAAGATTAATTCTCGACTACTTAGGGATCACATTAAATTCTCACTCGCGTAATATCTTAAACTGTTTCAAGTCTTGAAATTAATTCTAGACTGAATAAATTCTAAATTTAACTTTTCTGCATTAAATCTCGGGAATGACGCTGTTTCTGACGGTGTCAAATCCCGAGCTCACATTGTACCCTTCTACTATGGGTATTTATCTTCTGACTTTAACCTAGCTGTCTGGCAATTAAGGATTTTCTCTTCTTTAAAAATGTCAGTGCGTTTTTTTTACGCTGCTAACATCATGCTGTGTTTGGAGATTCTTGAAATTAAGATTCTCAAACTATACTTGTACTGAAAATTATTCTACCTTAAAGTACGACGAGAATTTATTGATCGAATTTACTTGATCGAAAACATGAACTTAACATGAAATCTGCTACAGAATTTAGGAATACATATATTAATTCCATAAATCCTTCAGTCACGTAATATTTGTCTAAAAAAATCCTTGGCTTAAATACATAAATTGTATTATTTAAGGTCTGGGATTTTCTCAGTCATTACAAAAATAGGCTTTAATCACTCGCTTATTCAACAAAATACCGAGAAAATTAAATAGAGAGAACAAGCTTGAAATTTTATTCATAAAAACTGAACTCTCTAAAATAACAATACTTAGAAGCCTTTAAATAGGCAATTGAAAATACAAATAAATGAAACAAACTAAAAGGAAACAATCTCAAGACTAATTTTAGAAGCTAGAAAAGGAAACTAAACTAATACAAAATATTCTAAATTTAAAAATCATAATAATTCATAAATCAGACTAGAAGGTATACTAGAAGATATCATGAAACAACTAAAATAAATTCAAATTCAAATTTTGAAGTAAAACAACTAATAAATCGGGCAACTTCTAAATCTGCTCCTTTCACTATATCCAACACTCTCTTTTTTCTATATGTTTTTAATATAAATGACAACAAAAAAGATTAAGTGAGAAGAATTTAAAATTTAAAAACTTAGTCTCCTTCCTGAAACTCTATAAATCTGCGGCGTTTATCTGCATAACTCATCTGGCGACTATGAGCAGTATCGAACTTCTTCGTGATAAGTCTCACATTCTCTGTGGTTCTACTGATAAAGTATACTATTTCTAAATGCTTCTCCCCAGGTTTATACTAATGAATTGGGGACCTGCATTTTTTTCTGTATAGAGCTTCGTAAGGTGTCATTCCTATTGACGTGTGATAGCTGTTGTTATAGGAAAACTATATCAAAGGTAACTTCCTATCCCAGTTCCCTTTAAAATCCATGACACATGCTCTCCGCATATCTTCTAGGGTCTGAATGGTCTTATCAGGTTGGCCATCTGTCTGCGGTGGAAAGCTGTACTAAACTTTAACTTGACCCTATTGCTCTTGCATACTCGCGAAATGGTTGTCTCTTAATAGAATAACTGAGTTTGATCAATAAAAATATGTAGATCTTGTCAATCAGTTTCTGATTATCTAAATCGCAACGTTACTATC